TTAGGTATTGGTGGCGCACGTTTCACGAAAAACGTTTCAAAAACTTATCCAGGTTTTGGTGAACGTGCTTCTTCCTTATAATTAGAATACCCATTATCACTGTGATAACGCGCCCTCAGATGTCTTGCAACAGCTTATATCCATTGGGACCCAATAATCTCCCATATCTAAACTCTCATAACTCTTTCCTATAGTCGTTCGGCAGACAACCAACACATTTTAGGAATCAACGTTAAAAAGCAAGCAAAATAAGCTTTTTTGAAATGGCTGTGTTAAGTTCGGACCATTCCCTCATTAGCACTTGAATATCCAGCTTCTGGACGAGTATAAAGTATTCAGTACACTTATGCAAGCAAAAATACTGAGAAGCTTTAATGGACTTTTAAACTGTCAATGTGTAAATCTGTGGAAACAAAAAAGATGTAATATCCATCTGGAGTTTTGCAGTCACCTCATGAGATTTCTACCAAAAACTAATAATTCCTTCTTCTTTCAACTCTCGCATTACAAAGTATTCTTAAAGAAGATTTCTTACTAAAAAAAGCTCACTCTTATCATTGCAAATCACTTTGAGGTAAGACAACTAAGACTCTTATCGCACCTGACGTAATTTAAGGTGTGGACTGCTGAAAAAACTTTTGAAAAAGCAGAGACTATTTATTCAGCAAGCAATTATTCATTACCTGGTTTTTCTGCATGTGTAGCTTTAGCTACTGTCATTTCTCAATAGCGATCAGCAAGTTATCCGGGAGAAAGGGGATGGGATTCGACTCGAACAAAATTTATGCAAAATTGCGTAGCAGCAGCCACGTCCTTCGGATAAAATTTGCAAAGCTTTTTTCAGAAATTTTCAACGAGCTAAAGCGTCTTTGCCTAATTATGGCATCAAGTAAAGAATACTTCTGTGAATCTACAATTAAAAAGACATCTACAGTCCTAATCAACTACTTCCGGGACTATTTGACCCACGAAAAAAGGTGGCGGAAACAAAAAGGAACAATGAATACCACAACCAATAATTGATTGCTGACGCTTTAACATGAGCAAAAGGACTGGAAAGAAGGCCACGTGGAGGACATTTTGCATTCTTTATGCAAAACTTGCTGTTATTTATGCAGCAAACAGAAAATCTAAAATACCCAGTAGTCTAGTTGAACTCTTGGCACTAATCATTTATACTGATTTTTATATGAGTAGTTTTTGATCCAAGTTCAAATCGCGTTTAAAGAGTATGAGATAACTTTTTCTGAGGTTGAAACAGGAAGTTTCGGAAAGTTCAACGTTTGATGGATTACAAAGATAATAATCTTCACAAATGTGTCAACATATATCAATATTTGTCAAGATGATTACCGGTAAACTTCAAAAAAGATGCAAAAAAGCAATTTCTGTGATTTGTTTGGACTTTTGCGAAGAAAAAATCGATTTCAGAACCACTCTGACATATGACAATCTAACTTTTTTGATCGACAGAGTTGGAAAAACGCAGAGAATGCTTTCTACAGTTGAAAATTATAAACAGGAACATACAACTTGTATCTAAGATGTTATTCCACTACCAAAACAATCTAGAAGAAAGGAAATTGCAGACATTTTCCGAGAAAAATCGCGTGACAGGGCAATAAGGTCGAGGTTATCTTTGTGCTCGCCGCAGTAGCAGAAATGATAGATAAAGTAGTCAAGGCCAGCTAAGGAACATTACACAATATCTCCACGATAAGTTAGCGCTTCTGATCGCCGAGCGGAGATATGGCTGGATAAAACGTTATAATCACGATGGCATACGGCGAATATAAATGCACCGCAAGTTTATGAATACTGTTTGAAGCAATGAAAGTCTTCAAAAATTTACCCACGCAGACTGTTCAATAAAAATGCGAAAGTAGATGCGTGCGTAAGTAAATCCACGCTTTGTCAATGTTTTAGAATATATTCTACACTTACAGCATCATCCTACGCTTTCATGCTTATTGAGAATACAACATAGTTAAAGCACCAGAACGTCTAAACTATCTTTTCACCAAAACAAGGGGCTATCACATGTGGAGGAGACGGTAAAGAGGCGCGATTTCTTCAGAGCTCACTAATTTAAAAGCCCGATTTAGATCTATGCGAGCCTTTCAAAAATACCAGACAAAGCGCTCTAGTTTATTATCTTGAAGGTACCAAAAAATTCATCAGAATATATTCACAAAAACGCTATTAGTTGCATTTTTACGGGTTTCTGATCTCCAACACTTATGTTTAAAATCCACTTCAGAATGTTAAGATCGACCAACCCATGCGACGATCATACGTACCCTTTGCTTCAACCACATGGCCTGCTGGAAGGCGTGGCTTCATGATCTAGGAGGCGACTGCTCGCGTCCGCGACGCAGTCCGCGCCTCCCTTGCGAACATGCTCTCTGATCATTTTCTAGCCTTAATTAAGTCAGGGAGCCCCGCTTTCCAGCCGCCGATCTGGTTGAAGCAAAGGGTATCTTGTTAGAAATTCGAATTGCTCCTAGAATATCGTAAAATACCAAAAGCGTTTACTGGTGTCCATCTAGCAATAAAAATCGCGCTTTTTTGACATATAGGCCGTTCATGCACGCAAAGACTGGACGCCGCAGGTGCGATAGAGGTAGTACATATTCAGGAGAGAGCGCAAACTGATAGAGGAATGATAGTGCGCGCGATCTAGGAGACGCCGACTAGGCCCGCAGTGGCGACTGATCTCTGCGTGCGTGAATCGCCTATACACCCCAAATGTAAGCAAATATCAAATTGCGCATTTCATTACTGAGCGTCAGACTGGACGTGCGAGTAGCTAATTGACCACTCGCCGTTTATAACAGACTCGGGACTCGGTACTCTGTACATCTGAGCGGCGATTCGTTGATTCCTCGCTCCCTTCACACTTATTCAGATATTGTTTCTGTCCAGAAAACGACCATATGACACATCTAATGTCGGAAGCCGTAAAATCATTGACATGCCAAAAACGCTAATGATCTTATCTGTAAGTGGTGACAGATGTTTGGGGAAATAAAAGATACCAAACCATCTACGCGAATATTCCACCATTTGCGATGCGATTTCCATTCTTATGATTCAAAAGCTACATAAAAGGTTCCTTTGAGGTGACTCAAAAATCATCTTGAAGCAAATTCAGCAAAAAAATAAATCCGGGAGTCCACAGTTTCCAGTTCCGACTTTCATCGAGACATTCTCAAAACAGTGAAAGACAGGATCGAATGTGAATCTTACAATAAAGAATCTTCTTCAATGAAGAAGCAAAGACGTAACAAAACAATAATTTTATCATTAAACCCCTCATTTTATAGATTTAGTCGACACATAAATATAATTACTAACTTTGCATCAATGAAACAGGAAGGGATTGGCACATCATCTGTAACAGGCGCTTAATAAAAGAAAACGGAAAGGGATAGAATAATCTAGAATAAATAAACAGGTATCGGGAGATCATTCAGGCCATACTTTGAAACAAACTAATTATCGAAGCTTCTAGAGCAATAATTTCAATAACAAGAGAAAATTACGGTGTAAAGGTGAAAACGAGTTCAGGTATGCCAATCTCAAGTTCCAATCTCAGTTTCAACGGATAGACCTGGTTAACCATCAGATTTTTTCACTTTCTGCTTAAAATAAGAAATCAAGGAAAATTCTAAATAGACGTTGATATAACTCCCAGAAATGACTGTATTATGTTGTAGATTTTAGTATATTAGGCTGGGAATTTTGTGCGTCACAAAGTTGTCGATTGATGGATGAGATAAAACTTAGCATAAGGAGTATAGCGAGAGATATAGTATATCTGCTTTGTTTGCTGTTTTTTTGGATAAAAGCTTAATTTTGACAACCATCGCAAGAATACTAAGTTTTTAATGGAAAAAAGGGAGTCATGTGGAATAACCAAAAAAGATAGAAAATTCATAAACAAAATGCACCCGGTCCCTTGACGTGGTAAAATTGGAAGAAAAAAAAACTGGAGAAAAAAGTCGATGGATTCCAACCAAATGTTTGCGATGATGTCAATGTCAGCACAGGTTCGCTGGCATTTTCAATACAACGTCAGCGTAAATCAATAATTTCCGAGCTGTCATAGCCGCAGAAAACGGACCCGAAGCCTTGCAAACAGCATTGACAAGGGAATGAATTTGTAGAGCAGATGTGAAAACACGAAGGGCATCTTTAGGACAGGGCATGAGTTTGCAGAAGCATCAGCTGATAGATGACTCGTAAATAAGGTGGAAAGGATGAACAAGTGCCCTAGCAAACAAAGTACAAGGGGGCGAGAAAAGAGTTGAGAAAACGAATTTACTTTTCATGAGTTTCACTCTTTTAGTTCTAACGATATTTGTCGCATTATGTTTTCTCTGAGTGCTCAAGTCAACCGGAACTCAGCCAAATGTTCTTCGTTCTCCTTTTCTGAATTATTCAACTTTATCTGGAAATACACAAGCATGTTCACTAAGTCCCTCACGCATATTTTTATATGTATGTATCAGCCTATTATCTTCCTGAGCCCACTGTTCTCGGCAAAATTAGCATATACAGTTTGCATTTGGCTTTCTATAAAGTCATGAATACGGTTGAAAAATAAAGTTCACCAGAAGTTTACACGCTCCATCGAAGATTCGACCTAATTGAAGAGTGACATCAATAACGAATAGCAATTTAAGTTCAGGTTATCATCTGTGCTTCGATATTTTTCAAATCAGTGTTTATTTTTGCACAATTATTTGGGAAAAAAGAAAATCTTATTTTGCTAAATGGACAATAGTTTACTTTCGATACTGCTAGTGTACTGAATTTGCTGCGGCCCATTCCTAGTCATGTAAAAATAAAGACAGTCCGGTGAAATATAATATAACCACAAGCTTTTTGAGTTATTCTACTTTATAAGAACGTAAAACGCGAGATTTTTTTTTAGTACTATCGATATATGAGTCGAGGTGAGAATTAATGAATCATGACATCAACGTCAATCAAATGGCAGCAAAAAATGAAACCACGTGGAGCTCACGTCAAAAGAATGTAAGATAAAACCCCCAACAAAGTACAGCACAGAGAAATCAAGATACAAAAGACCAGAGAAAGATTTAGAAAATTAATCATGCAAGCGAAACTCGATAAGAAATGACATATTGGGAAAACAAGGAAGCATAAACACTCAACCCAACTGGACCCAACACTGAATTGAGCAACTGCAAGTAGGCAGAGATTAGAGTATTCTTTCAGCCTCATGGCAGATATTTCAGCGACTTCGTACGAGATAACAACAAAAAAAAAATCAAGATGAAAAATTCATCGCTTACTCGGCTTTGTCTAATACACGTTCAAAAGGACACGATATAACAGATATATCAACAGAACAGGCCTAGTAATACGTTTTCCGGTGATATGCCTCTGGATCACCTCGCCCAGCTTCGGACAGAACACCTTTGACTTTCAGTAGCTCTCGCTCCTCCAGGTAGTCTTCGGATGACATTTCCGCAAGAAGTGCCCACTGGTTTACGAACATGGCTTTAATGACGGAGATAACAGCAATGGTGTGGAGGCCAACAATCGAAACTGACCTTTCCAAACTCTCACAGTCCCATCGCCGCTGGATGCTGTCAGCACCGTGCCCGTGACATTATATTTTATTCGCCACGCAGGACGTTCCTCACCAAGAACAGCCACCTGCAAGCAACTCAGAATGAAGATAACGATGTAGATAATCACCTCAGAAAATTACGAGGGTGTGTTCTTATACCACTCAAGAATTATGAATCTAACTGAGATTTCATTTGTGCAAACTTTACTTTGCCCAGTACTTACTACTGGAAGGCAATGGCTCGGCACAATGACTCCTGTGAATTTTGGTACTAGTAGGTAGTGGACCATTTGGAACATATTGGCCCCCACCTCTTTGGCGTGCAGTGGGATGGAAGTATGGGTACTCAAAGGTTCTCCTACAGGCGGCACTAAAATATGACGAGGGGTTAAATCGCGAGATCAGGACCTTCAATCACATGATAGTCATCTTACAGACAGAGCGCATACACCTCCGTACCTATCAAAGACTGTTCCCGTGACCGCCGCACGCTTTCTGCTCAGATACACTCAAATTCGGCGATTTCATTTTTTGTGGTAAAGCACTGACCCTTATTTGGAGCTTATCACTTACAAGGAGCGGATACTTATTGTTAGTCAAAAGCATCAATCCAGATGAGACATATATAGCCTCGAAGCGCTTAAAACGCTGATTCCAAATCTATAGATTCTAGCAGCGGAACGGTTTTGTAGAAGAGTTATGAAGGAAATTGTCCTCTGGAGTTGAGGCGCCCTCCAGCTAATCTCCCCTTATCTGTGCACTGTAGAGGAGTACCGACTGGTGGCAACTGACCAGTGGTGACTAGCTTGCTAAAGAGAGTGTCAAAGTTTAATTCCCTTTGCATGCAACTTTGTCGCAATTTTTGCAAAACTGAGCTTTCAAATGGCTTTGGAGCCCTAAACCCTAAAATTTCTGATGATTTCAATACTTATCGAAGTGTGTTTTGAAAGAGGCAAAATAACATGATTATAATCCTTATTGTAATCTTCATTCAAATTACTTACCATTAGGCCAGTTGCCACCAGTTGGTACTCCTCTACAATGCTCATAGATAAAGGGAGATCTGCTGGAAGGCGCCTCAACCCCGGAGGGAAAACCCTTCATAACTCCTTCTAAAAAACCGCTCCGCTGCTGGAAACTATAGAGTTGGGATCAGCGTTTCGCGCTTCGAGGCGATATATGTCTCATCTGGATTGGTGCTTTCGACTAAGTATCCTTTCCCTATTAGTAAGAAGTCGCCGAAATAGAAAAGTGCATCACTTAGAAACAAAATTCTTGACCGAAATAGGACTAAGAAATTTTTAGCGCAAATGTTAGCAGTTAAGTACTCCTTTGATAGCCACTGGATTCTAGTCATGCTGATAGCATTGACTATGATGAATAGAGTCAATGAATCAAAATAAGTAAAAAAAAAACAAGTTGCTGTCATCACTAATAATCGGAAGAAGGAAGTATATCACATAAAGAAAGTCAATGTGCGAAAAAAAGTACTAAAGGGCTGATTCACGTACCCTATTTGCCGAATACTCTGTCGCATCGGTCGGAACATTTTCAGGTGCACCATTGTCGTCATCGACAAAAGCCGAAACTGGGATCTGAAACACCTTCTGATTCAATTACCCTTGGGGTAGGCAGGGCCATCGCAGAACATACAAAGTAAAACATCATACCTGGCTAGCATATAAAGTGGTTCGGTTTCATGAATCAAAACAAGTAAATGCCGCATAAATGAAAATCAAACTGAGCTACAATTGAAATCGGAAGTTGAATCAGAGTGATGAGATCGTCTAATTAGAGGCCAATGGAAGAATAACATTCTACAAATGCAAAACGCGGCTCTATCGTTGACTGGTACCGGCTCATCAAATTTTCCACCCAAGGTGATATTAAGAGAAAGTTTTTGATTTGAAAAGACATGTGTAAGAAAAAAAGGTTCCCTCTGATTATAGATGTAATCGCTACAATATTATGTCAAAAATAACACCTATACCTCTTCAAAGCCGCAGCTTGAGAGATATGCGAAACACGGTACAATGTCAAATAGTAAGGACTAGCACAATATGGAAAGCGTCTCTGCATTGAATGAAAAAAAAAATAAGTATTAGAATGCAGAACTACTATTCCAAAACTGCAAAATATGTCATCGGCGTATCAGCTTACTCTGTTTTTTCTTCCTCTATTGTTATAATGAAAGTTGAAGGATTCAACAAACAGTTAGAACGGAGCAAATTTGATTTCAAGGGCAATTTTCACCCGATAACAAGTAGTGCACCATGCAGATCATAAGTTACAAACTGCAAAAAGAATGCTAGCAGGCAAAGTGGTAAAAAACAAAAAAAACTGTTCAAAGTTAAAAGAAATAATTACCTTGATATTATACACATGCACGTCTCCTGCAGCTATGGCCAGCTGATGTGAATCGGCCAACGCAATAGGCGAGAACTTCAGATCAGTGACAGGAAATGCTAATTCGAGCCGCAGTGACACCACTCTTTGCCATTTCCTAAGATGTGAAAAAAAAATCAAGAAAGAAGCCGGCAAACGAACATGCCTTAGATTTTCGTTGTGCTCATAGATTACGATACGTTCATCATTCTCAGCTCGCTTATCGTCTGAAGCAACAGCCAGAAGTGGCCGATGTATTCGTGACCGACTCCATTCGACACTACCACATCTTGTGTAAAAGGCCTTGAAATACACTATTTTGCATATAATTGAAAGAGGGTGTATGGGTCCACATAGTTTACGACGCCATATTAGCAAATTAAAAGCCATAAACCGAAAAGAGTGCACATTGAGAATGTGAAATGAAATCAAAAATGGTTTAACAGATACGGACCTGTAATTCATGGCATAGAGACCATCTTGATAAGTCCATAACATCTGCTGCTTCATATATTCGCACAACTCCTTGCGCAGATACTGTTGCCTGAAATAATTTTTTACTCCCTTTCCATCTGATGCGTAGTAAGCGGTGAACACCCAAGCGCGAAATAGATAACATACTACTTTGCAGAATAGGAGAAACAAATTTACCAGCATAAGTCCTAAATGTCGAGGTGCAAAAGCGATATCCGTCACATTCGCCCTGCTGTCAGTCAAATAAGCCTTCCGAACCCACCGAGCTCCCTTTCGTCCTTCTGAAACCATCTATCAAGTTGCGGTTAAAAAAACTTAATTTCTGATCAAAAATAACAGCTTCTTATGCGCATTACAAAAAAAAGGATAAGAATAAGAAATTGATGTCCGACTTGCATGCTTTCCACTACTGGATAAAGTCGTGCATGTTCAGAGAAGTACTGAAATTTTACACGACTTATCCAACTAGATGGGGTAGTTTACATGCACTTCATACTGTGGTGTGCACTCAATATCAACACAGGACTTTTAAGATCGTAAAGACAGCGCTTTATGAAAAAAAAAGAGAAAATACATGAGAGCAAACAGAATCATTATGAAACACAACAAACCTTACCTGCCCCTGGTGCACTCCTTATTTCTTCCCAGATATGGACGCTGCGATCGTACGAACATGTAGCTAACAACTGTCCAAACTCTGGGTGTGCCCAAACAACTCTCCATACGGCGCCACCATGAACCTGTGTCAGTAGAATAATGAAAAGAATGGAAGTCTTTTCAATACTGACCAACCTTCCAGCTAGCGGCTTTGATCCATGTTCCTTCAGGAGTCCGATCCCAAACTGACAATGTCATATCACTCGAACAAGTTGCCAGACGTCGACCATGGTGATCGAATGCTACCTTACAAGGGTGAAATGTATGCCTGAGCAAGAAATCTTTGTTGAACAAACCTGATGAATGAGATCTCTGTGCGTCACATCAAAGTCAAACGGTCTGGACTTGTCGTCCATCTCCGCATAATCCATATCTCACCTAAAAATTTAAACAGCGGGAGACTGCGCGTATATTTCTATGAGACATCGGATCTAGCACGGATTCAGCTTTTCAACTAAAGATAGGGGAAAAGCAAGGCTTGCAAAGTACTCAAAACACTGCCATAGTGAGACTTCCACATATAATTTATCCCCCGTTTAGCTATCGAGACTCGATACGGTTCCGATCTTTGGCATCCCCTAGACTACATAGCTAACACTTCGGTTCTGTAGCAGATTGAGTTTAATGGTATTAGTTTAGCCACGCATAAGCAATCAGATAGATACAGTACACTGAACTGCGCCTAATTCTGTCGATTATTAGGAGAAGAAAGACTGATAGGCACGAAAAAAGTAAAAAAGATTAATCTGCTAAGAAGTCAAAGTTTGAATTTAATGCGAATGGCGCACGAACTCTGACATTCGGTCCGTGCGGCGCGCGCGTGCTCCCCGTACGGCGCCTTGTAGTGCGAGGGAGCCGAACGCTCCGTGCACGGGGGCCGAACGCTCCGTGCGCGCGGGCCGAACGATGAATGCGCGCGGGCCGAACGATGAATGCGCGCGGGCCGCACGGTATCGAAAGCGCCGCGTCCGCAGGCTATCCATACTATTATATAAAGCGCTAGCACCCCCATGTGAGTCAGCATGGTGTGTGTATGTTCCGGTGTTGTTTACCACTAATGGCAACGCGCCCGGCGGCCAAGATGAGTCGCGCTGATGACGTCATACAATGCTGCCTCCAGAGTTTTCGGTCATGCTCTCTGGCGATGTTTATGAGTTGGCACCAAAAGCAGCGAAATTAACACCACTTGAACTGGCTGAATTGATTAAGCTGTTCCACTGACTGTAGTAGCTTCATTTCGAAAATCATCAAGGGTTGGCCAAATCGTTTGTACATTATCTCAACACCATTACGTTCTTTTTTTTACATCTCGCTTCTCTATTTCTATCATGGAACGTTTAATTTCGAGGGGAGCATAAGTTTTTCGGAAAAGTTAGGTATTTAATATACTGCAGTCTTCCATAGTCCGTTTCTCGAGTGCTTAGTATGTTTCCTCACCGTAAGAGCTGCGCCAAATTTTCAATTATTCTGTCCTTCTAATTTTTCTGTTAACGTATCTCAGCAAGAAGAAGTTCTCCGTGAAGTGCTTAGTGAATGTTATTATTCCAGGTAAACTGCACTAAATCTGTTTTTGGAGGATTCTCGCAAACTTTGCTCTGGACAATCTTTGTCTACGATTTTTTATGAATAAGCACTTTGTCTGAAATGTCTACACGAAAGGCTCTTTAGATTTGTTTATCAAAGTTGATGAACTTCGAAATTTTTGGACTCCATTGAGTTGACATCCCAATACTGTGTGAACCTTTTAGATAGTTGCCAACAATTGTACGAAACACTATTTTTCCAAACGAATACAGCGTGGTCATGCAAATTGTCTTAAGACTCGATGAAAGCTGGATGCAAAAACCTTCTTCAGCTAGGAAAAGTAAACTCTAAAAAACACTTTCAACTTCCAGAGTTTTCCTTCAAACATCAAAAATTCGAAGAGTAATGTAAAAGAATGTCAATGCGATCGCGTTTGATATATTAGGACTAAATGCTGTATGAATCTGCCTTAAGTATCCATACTATTATATAAAGCGCTAGCACCCCCATGTGAGTCAGCATGGTGTGTGTATGTTCCGGTGTTGTTTACCACGAATGGCAACGCGCCCGGCGGCCAAGATGAGTCGCGCTGATGACGTCATACAATGCTGCCTCCAGAGTTTTCGGTCATGCTCTCTGGCGATGTTTATGAGTTGGCACCAAAAGCAGCGAAATTAACACCACTTGAACTGGCTGAATTGATTAAGCTGTTCCACTGACTGTAGTAGCTTCATTTCGAAAATCATCAAGGGTTGGCCAAATCGTTTGTACATTATCTCAACACCATTACGTTCTTTTTTTTACATCTCGCTTCTCTATTTCTATCATGGAACGTTTAATTTCGAGGGGAGCATAAGTTTTTCGGAAAAGTTAGGTATTTAATATACTGCAGTCTTCCATAGTCCGTTTCTCGAGTGCTTAGTATGTTTCCTCACCGTAAGAGCTGCGCCAAATTTTCAATTATTCTGTCCTTCTAATTTTTCTGTTAACGTATCTCAGCAAGAAGAAGTTCTCCGTGAAGTGCTTAGTGAATGTTATTATTCCAGGTAAACTGCACTAAATCTGTTTTTGGAGGATTCTCGCAAACTTTGCTCTGGACAATCTTTGTCTACGATTTTTTATGAATAAGCACTTTGTCTGAAATGTCTACACGAAAGGCTCTTTAGATTTGTTTATCAAAGTTGATGAACTTCGAAATTTTTGGACTCCATTGAGTTGACATCCCAATACTGTGTGAACCTTTTAGATAGTTGCCAACAATTGTACGAAACACTATTTTTCCAAACGAATACAGCGTGGTCATGCAAATTGTCTTAAGACTCGATGAAAGCTGGATGCAAAAACCTTCTTCAGCTAGGAAAAGTAAACTCTAAAAAACACTTTCAACTTCCAGAGTTTTCCTTCAAACATCAAAAATTCGAAGAGTAATGTAAAAGAATGTCAATGCGATCGCGTTTGATATATTAGGACTAAATGCTGTATGAATCTGCCTTAAGTATCCATACTATTATATAAAGCGCTAGCACCCCCATGTGAGTCAGCATGGTGTGTGTATGTTCCGGTGTTGTTTACCACGAATGGCAACGCGCCCGGCGGCCAAGATGAGTCGCGCTGATGACGTCATACAATGCTGCCTCCAGAGTTTTCGGTCATGCTCTCTGGCGATGTTTATGAGTTGGCACCAAAAGCAGCGAAATTAACACCACTTGAACTGGCTGAATTGATTAAGCTGTTCCACTGACTGTAGTAGCTTCATTTCGAAAATCATCAAGGGTTGGCCAAATCGTTTGTACATTATCTCAACACCATTACGTTCTTTTTTTTACATCTCGCTTCTCTATTTCTATCATGGAGCGTTTAATTTCGAGGGGAGCATAAGTTTTTCGGAAAAGTTAGGTATTTAATATACTGCAGTCTTCCATAGTCCGTTTCTCGAGTGCTTAGTATGTTTCCTCACCGTAAGAGCTGCGCCAAATTTTCAATTATTCTGTCCTTCTAATTTTTCTGTTAACGTATCTCAGCAAGAAGAAGTTCTCCGTGAAGTGCTTAGTGAATGTTATTATTCCAGGTAAACTGCACTAAATCTGTTTTTGGAGGATTCTCGCAAACTTTGCTCTGGACAATCTTTGTCTACGATTTTTTATGAATAAGCACTTTGTCTGAAATGTCTACACGACAGGCTCTTTAGATTTGTTTATCAAAGTTGATGAACTTCGAAATTTTTGGACTCCATTGAGTTGACATCCCAATACTGTGTGAACCTTTTAGATAGTTGCCAACAATTGTACGAAACACTATTTTTCCAAACGAATACAGCGTGGTCATGCAAATTGTCTTAAGACTCGATGAAAGCTGGATGCAAAAACCTTCTTCAGCTAGGAAAAGTAAACTCTAAAAAACACTTTCAACTTCCAGAGTTTTCCTTCAAACATCAAAAATTCGAAGAGTAATGTAAAAGAATGTCAATGCGATCGCGTTTGGTATATTAGGACTAAATGCTGTATGAATCTGCCTTAAGTATCTCAGCTACGAATAAGAGACAAGGTGGCATGCAACTTAGCTTTACGTAAACTAAAGCTTTACCAATGTACAGCGCAGCTTTGCCAGAATATTGCACAACCTCAAAATTGCATAAGAAACGAGATCTGCCTAGGTGAGCAGCTAGAAGCATGGACACCTTTAAGTAGGCTCCTTCAAGAATTTGAGCTTGCTCAATAAGATGGCCTGAAAAATGATCGATTTTGGAACCTACGTATGAATTGCAAGGATGCTGGATATTTTGGGAACCTCATAAAACACGAACGAGAGTTTCTTGAAATAGAAGAGAAATTATGACGCTCTCAAAAAGAATACTTCTGAAAAGGAAAAGGTATTTTCAAAAATAACAATTCGAATTTTCTTCAGTTTAATTTCGGGAAGAGGTGAAAGTAATCTCATTGAAGCTTCTGGGGGGGGGGTTCTAAGGCAATTTGGAGGGTCAAATGTGGGAAACGGCCCCGGGTGGGAAGAGCGCACATGGCTGGGATTACTTTATCGGGTTTGGGACGGGCGCTTCAATCACAATTTTTTTGCGTTACGTTTTTTGACGTGTAAAAGTTTGAGAGCATCCGAGAAACTTCGCAGCCTGGAGAACTTAGGCTAAGCCTGTCTAAATCGTGATCAGACTGAACATTTGGATGAGCAGATTTGGGGGCAACTTTCGAAGCGTGAGTCAGAACGGCCTCCTTCGACTAATGCCCTCAGAACTGAAGAGTGTGAGAATGCGAGAAGAGAGTGGTACTTCAGCAAAGTTGATTAAGAAGTTACTGGGTTAATGAGTTGAGGGGAGGGAAACCTTGAAAGACTGGGATAGCAAAACGCAAGATTATATAAGATTCGAGCATATGTGAATTAAGTATCTGTAAATTCGTGTCTCAAGGAAGTGGGTGCGGTTAGAAAAAGCTGGGAGGGGAGCATTCATAATTCTGTTGCCAATTTTCATGAGAAAATTTCCGAAACTTCCGAAAGCAGGAAAGATCCGTTACTTTGATAACTTCTGGGCTCATTAGGTGTTCAAATCTATGCCATACTTTTGGAGAGGAATAGGTTCGCTACAAATCCTCAAAGGTTCTAACTTTCAGTCACATTCCCACTTCACACACACAGCCAGTCCAAAGCGCCGCGAAGCGGCGCTTTGGACTGGTTAGAGAATAAGTCTTTCATAAAGCTTCTTTTTCTTCTTTCGTCGTGCCGTGAGCATTCTCAACTTCACAGTCCAAAAATAATTCCGAATTTCGAAAATTCGAAAGTTTGAATTTGAATTCATAGAATTCAAAAATTCAATTTTAGCACCCATTTGAGCAGATGTCGAGGAATAACCTTCGTAGAAGCCGAAAACCTCTCATTTTCACGCCATTACTCAAATGCCAAGAAATGATAAGCCGG